CCCAATAAACGGCCGTATATTTTGTCTTCAAGGCAAAGTGCGTCAGTTTTGGGATCTTTTTGGGATTCTTTTGCATAATAAATGTTAACACCTCTCTAACGTTAATAATGTTATCTAAGATGATTTTTTATTAGTGAAACGTTAAGTTCCAAAAAAGTACTTTAACGTTAAAGTGTATAAATAAGTTGCCCGGACAATTGATCTACATCAGCCAATCAGACGAACTTCCTCCTATGATCAACTACTCGCTTTCTATCATGTATTCTGCTAACCTTGAATTCAATAAATATCACCTCCGGCATAAATCATCAGCCGGCATTAGTGTTGTGTAATAATGAATGCTTTTCGATATTACTAATCGTAAGCGGAGTTTGAATATTGAAGCCCAGACATCACGCGGCGCGACAACCAAGTTTCAGGGAGTAGCGATACATCGCTATGGCGACAAAAAATAAAATCCTTAAAATTATATTAATGTAATTTTCTTTTGATAGTTAAACGTACATATTACTTTTAATTTTTCTCTTAGCGACTTGCATATAAAAACTATGATTAATTTAACTTTCTCTACGGAAACCATTGAGTTTTTGCGGCTCTAAAAATCTTCGATTAACGCATAGTAACCTTGATAAATACGTACTTTACTTAGTCGAACTGTATCTTGGTTAAAAAAAAATTTATTAAGCGAAATGATAGTATCAAATGTATAAAGTAATACTGTATAAAATAATACTGTACGTATAAAGTAATCAATCAAAATATACTTTCTTATCTTTCTTATCTGATCAGATAAAAAAGTGCTTTAACCAATAATAAAATATACGTATGCATAATCATATGTCGGCATTTTTCCCTCATTAGGAATGCCCACGGATCATTTCTTTTTTATTATTAAAAATAATGACCGTCATGAAATGTAATAATTTGTGATAGCGTGCGAAAAAGTTGTAAATTTTGCATATAATATCATCTGATTTGTGATAGCGCGCAAAAAATTGTAATTTTATTATAGTTATCGAAAATCTGTAATCTCGCATATTAAGCTAACTGAAAAGAAAATGGTAATTTTGGTTGCATAATGATAAAATCGTCATGCCTATACCTGTTTTAGTAATTATAAATTATAGTCCAATGAGAAAAATTTCACGTATTTCATAATTTTATGGTATATGTATATATAAATGAGCATATCCGTATAGTATATAGACTATACTACGTATACTATACTGATCTGGCATATTAGGGTCAGAAATTATAGCTAATTAATCAGTATGGTGTACTTTTAAAAAAATTGGGCCTGTACAATACAGATCTACTCAGTGATACCATATCAATTCGCTAGAGTTAACAAAATTCAACGGATCAAAAAAGCGCTAAGCAGGGGTAATGTATCCTGCGAAAATAGCTACGGGAACAGGAACAATCCTGCATAATCAAGATTACAGGAGGAGTATGATTCTAAATAACCTTCCATATATAGTAATTCTGTCATAATGATACCGTGAGAAAAAGGCTGATTCAGCAGTTTTGAATCCACACCAGCCATCGCCAATTCAGCCATCAATTAATTTCTTCCCCAAGTTTGATTGGCTGAATTATTTGCACAAATTTACATGTCACCTTCTATTTAAAATGTGATATCTCAGGTAGGGTTGGGGTTAGGGTTAGTGGGCGGAATAATACTAATATTTTGCAAGAAAAATTTTTTTTTTTTGTGTTAGTGTGCAAAAGGTGATTTCTTAGACGAATTTTTGAGATAAATGTGATTTTTCAAAAAAAGAGCGATTGTTGCTTTGCTTGTCACGTTACACCTAAGATCGCACTCTGATTGGCCAGAATCAAATTGGGAAGAGAATTAGTAAATGCCTCAATTCACGACCCTAGCCCACTCTCATTTTATATTATAAATACTACTGTATCACATGTAGGGTTGTGCTACAAAAATTACAATCTTACAATACCGATACACGCATTTTTTATGTAAATTTCAGTAAATCAAATTTCATCATGTTATATACAAAACACCAGCTTTACAGAAGTTTGGCCAGCATTATTGTATCATTTTATTTGAATATACGATTTGAATTTAACTCCGAAAATTTGATCACAAAAGCCATTTAAAATTACAATTACGTGAAATATTGATTTATAGAAACTTACTGCAAATTACATAAATTACGAAAAATTACAATCCTAATCACATGGTCATGTTTATAGCCAGTCTGCATTATACAAGTACGTCACATAAGAAGCCACCGGGTCGCACAAACTAAATTGCTTATCGTTATAGCGATTTCTAGTGTAGGTCGATTCTAAAAATCAGAATTGATTATTGAATACCTCAAAATCATTTCAAAATCAATGACCGAATCTGTGATTGGTTCATATGTGGGTCTAATTGGGTTTGGGTCAAAATCCCGAAAATCAAAATCCTGAAACTTAATTGTCGCGTCATGTGATAACATCTTATGATTATAACAATGATTGTGATAATGATTACTAATCGTTTAAGTATTATCACACGACGCGATAATTAAGATTCAGGATTTTGACTTTCGGGATTTTGACCCAAACCCGGTCTAATTCACAGTGTCTATATCAAAGAGGATCTTGTATATGATGTGATATTTCAAGATTTAATATTTTTTTCTGGCCCGAGTTTGACGGGTAATCTTTGTACCCGGTAGACCGTCGGTTTGCCCAAGTGAACCGTGGGTCCACCCGTCAGGTAACCCAGGTTGTACTTTTTTAAGACAGGTTCAATCACTAATAAGCATCACCCCTCTACCCCTTTTTTTTTTTTTTTATAAATATCAGATTAGCGGAGATGTCAATGAGATATTTAACAAAGTTATTCCCGGTAGTCTGAGATTTAAAAAATGGGGTAGAGGAGTGATGCTTATTTTCGAGACTTTACGGCAATTAAAAACAGGTGATGATTATGTTCTTAATATATTTAAAACAAATTTAACTATTCAGGCTTTAATCACCACTAAAGTCGATGAAAAAGTGTTTAAACTAGAGATGTACATTGTGTGAGATCACAGAATTCGCGCGCTTGTGACTTTCGCGAAATGATGTCATATTTTTATTTGTCATTTTAAATTTTATTATTGTCGCATGTCTCGCGAGAAATCGTGCGATATGATCTCGCGTGCGACATGCAAAATATTAGGTTCATCTCACAAGATGAATATCTCTAGTTTAAACCTGTTTTTTTTTCATCTTTAGTGATGTGTGATGCACGAAATTTGATCACAATAATTTGAAAAGCGATGTGATTATTTATTTCAATTTTACAAAAGATTTCTCTTTTACAAAAACCTGCAAGAGAGATTAAATAGTAAAATAATAACCATCAATGAATTAGGTCTTCAGATATCTATATTAATAAATTTGATAAAAAAAAATGTATATATATATATAATTTATCATTATATAAACCTTAGTGTAGGTCTATTTGTAAAATGTATTATTATTTCAAGTTTATATTATATAACACATGGGAAGTTCCTAATTATTTAAATAAATATCAATGGAAAGCCTGGGAATGTTATTTCATAAGAATCTCAGATTCTTATGGTAATACTCAACCGTTATAAGAAATTTTCTATTTTATTAACATGTTGCGTGGAAAATCTCCATAAACATTTCCTCGAGTTACTGTGTCTAATTACTGATCAGGGTAATAGAAAAATGCCACAGCTATTACTGCATAAGTCGCTATTAACAATGTGCCTTCTAGCCAATTAGATTTTCCGTCTGAAATATGAATTAGTAAAAATATTCAAATACTGTATTAACCAAATACTGTATTAACAATATATAACAAAACAATAACTTACCCTATATTATAAAACATTTTAAATAGGAATATTTCATTAATACTTAATATATTGAAAAATAAAGAATTTCAAGAAACGATTTAAAGATAATATACCTGAACTAAATAATTTGTGAGTAAAACAGCAATGAATAAACAAATGGTTTCAAACGGTAAAAAGAATAGAGACATTGGTTGATGGATGATCCAACCCAAAATCACCAGTAGTGGGGTAATAAATAACGCAATTTGCTGTATATTAATTATGATAGAATTTAATTTTTTTTTTTAAAAAAAAAACATTGTGTTGTGCGTGACTTACGGTTGAACTTCCAACAGCAACACCAATAGCTAGATCCATTTTATTATTCATTGCAACAGTAACGGATGTTACATGCTATTAAAATTAAAGATGTAAGTATTTATAAGAAAATAATTGCAACATTTAATAATGACGTTAGCATTTTTAATACCTCAGCGGCATTACCAACTATAGGTAATAAAATCAACCCAATAAAAGTTTCGCTTATACTAAGGGATTTGACAATTCCTTCTATTGATCCTACGAGAAATTCTGCAGAAAAAGCGGTAATCACAGTTGTTGCGATTAGCAAAATTAATGACGCTATCGTGCTTATGTGTTCTTCTTCGCTTTCCTCTTCCTTGTTTTCGCTTTCTTTGTTTTTATTTTTTTGTTTTCCGTTATCTGCGGTTTCTGCGATTTCTGCGTTATCATTTTCTTGTTCTTCGCTTTCTGAGTTTCCAGATTTGTTGTCGGCGCTTTGTTTTGCAGGATTAAGATTGACTCCGCGACTTACATTTTCAAGGTCTTCTTCTTTTACAACAAATAGGGATTTATGGGTTTTTAGCTATATTAATAAAAGGAAGTAAACTATAGAAACATTCAATGTAAAATATTATGAGATAAATGAATTTTCATAATACCTGAAATAATAAATAAAGTATATATACAGCCAATAATACAATCGACGTTCCATAACTTATATGCAAAATCCTGTCATCAACCTTGACAGTACTATTCTCACTGGAAGAATTACCAGTTCCATTAGTAGCTCCACCAGAAGTGGTTCCGTTGACAGTAAAGCTGAATGCAGCAGGCAAAATTAGAGTAATGCATGCCAGGGTCATCAAACTAGAACTAGCTTGTGCAGCAGTCGAACTAAAATTTTGTTCAAGTTCCCCACTTTTTAACATAACAGAAATTCCACCGCAAAGAAAACATGTTCCTAATACTAATAGAATATTAGAAAGTACAGAGCCTAACACTGATGCTTGGACAACGCGAATTTGACCTTTCACCAAAGCTACTATAGCTATTATTAATTCTACTGCATTGCCAAATGTTGCATTCAACAGACCTCCCACAGCCTTTATTAAAACCTAATATTAGAATAATGAAAGAGTGATAAATATTGTGTAATTCAATGTACATTACCTCACCGACAGTGTATGCTAGTTCTTCAGTGGCGAACCCAAGCAATTTAGCCAATGGAATAATTGCTAGAAAGTTCGTAAAAAAAATTAACGTGTCATTCGAGCTAACAAAGTGTACTATATATCCTATAGGAACAAACAACAACAATAAATTGACATAAGAAGCAAGGAAGATTTTTTTTAAAGTTTCCACCAAAGATAGTTTTTCTCTAGCAAGTACACTCATTTTTCGAAATTTACAATTGTTCACTTTTCTCACATTTTAAGCAATTATTCTTGTATCGCTCTATATTTATTTTGTATTCGCTTGCATACGTATAAGAAATTCACGTGAAACGCCACATTACACTATAATTCACATATCTAATCGTGTAACGGTATTGGTCACATAGTATCGGGGACGATTCAAACTATTGAAACGACTTGATGTTGCAGGGGACATAGAAATAAAATGTTATTTACTAAATGTATTCAATATTTTTAATTAGTGCACCAAGGTCGATTTAAACATTAAAGGTTTTGAATTCATAAAATACGCCTTTTAACGTTAATTTTGAAACTCCCCATTAATTTTGAGTATTTTCATTTTCTTTTGCAACAATCAAAAATTGAACTTGCAGACCTGCTAAGAATAATCATTTGTTTGATTATCATACGTACGTACGTAAGTAAATGTGATATAATATTACAACATTTTGCAGTTTTTGAAACTAAAAATGCCCTGTAGCACCTACTCCTATAATAGATTCAAAAATGTTATCTCAAGAACCGGACGTTTCACTTGGTTGCTTATTTCAGGAAGTTTATTAACAAAGCAGATAGCCAGGTTGGGCGGATATTCCTTTGTTTGGCCTAGTGATTCAGACAAATAGTTATAATTAAATAGTTATAATTTAATTACGAAAATTTAAAAAGGTACGGACGCAAATCTGTTTTTTTAACGTTAATACAGTAATATAAAAATAAGTGCCATATTACGCCTACACCACTAGCCAACCCCAAAAATATTTATGAGCCCAAGCCAGGCTCAATAAAGTAAAAATCCAATATGACCAGGGTTTGTTACATACGTACGTACGTACGTACGTACGTTGTAACGGGTAATATGACCTGCCGTTATTATGAAAACGTGATTCAAGCCACATGACTCGGGACCCGAAATGCGGATTGATCGACAAAGCGAAGGCAAATAATAATGCTAATTCGGGTTTGGCTTGAGGCGATGCTTCATTCAGAACAATAGTGAGATGTCGCTGGTATTCACATAAAGTCATCGTCATGTAAATGAGTATGAATTGCTTATTGTTAGTATAGATTCCTCCCCCGATACTCGAAATAGCTATATTACTTATAATGATCTTAATCGTAGTATAAAAGCTCGTTAATTTCATGTAACAAGCAAATAAAATCATAATAAAGACTACCTAATCCGAGGATTCTAGGTTCTCGGACCAAATCTTCCACACCTTCTTTCGAGTAGCCTAGTCTTTGTTGTGATTTAGGTTATGACCCCGAATCCACACTTTTACAACGTACTAGGGATCTGCACTAATGCTTGTGAGGTTACCTGTGCCCATCGGCACAATAGTTTTAGGCATTTTGTAGGCACACATGTAATGTTTTAGGCACACATGTGATGTTTTAGGCACCTTCGGAGCAGGCACTTTGTGCCTTAGTGCCCAATAGTTTAGTCATATTTATAATACAAAGTGCCCAACATGTGCCAAATACCTCAAAATTGTCCACTAATGTTTTTGCACCCGTCGGGCTTGCAGATCCCTAATACCCGTAAAAGTGCATATACAAGACCCGGGTCTCTTACATTCCACCAAAAAAATTAATTAGTAAAAAAAAGAAAATAATTAGTAAAAATGAGGTTCTGTTATATGGGGGATCTAGTACTGCACTTTTACGGTACGTACGTACGTACGTATGAAACACTTAAGAAATACAATGCCACTTTTATCTAGCAATTATGTAAATTGAGAAAATTAATAGTGACAAAATGCCTAACGCTAACTAGCATTAATTAGACTAATTTCCAATCGTGTTACGTCATATACGTAACTTTTTCCTAATTTGGCTAATTACTATTTTTTAAATTATATTACGAAACTAGATTGATAGTGTAAATATTAAACAAAGGATCGCAAATTATGATTAATATCTTAAATCATGCGACTCAATGAATATCACCAATTAATAAGAAAAATCTTAAC